CCTGCGGGGCGGGGCGGGGCCGCAGCCGGAGGAAGAGAGGGGAGGTCCCGGGAGAAGGCCGTCCGCTGTCAGGCCGGCTAGGCTGAACTTCCCAGATGAGCACTCAGAAGGGAGGCTGCCCGCCCAATTTGTGAGGGAAGTTATAACCCACACCGGAAGAGTTCAGTTTAAATCCATGTTAGACTATGCAGAAAACGAGATACCCATCTCCTTAAAACAATTTAAAGGAAACTCCGGAGTGTAACAACTCAGAGAATCCTGAAAATGATAAACAAAAAAAGTCACCAGAAATGATAGCTCACTAAGATTTCTCCCTTTGAATTAAATTTCAACATATAACATGCTTGGGTATGTGTGTTTGTGCCATGAGCGGAACGTGCGTTAGAGTTAAATTTTTAAAGGTTAGGAATATACTCTCTTGGGATCTCACTGTGTCGTCTTTAAACTCACAATAAATCTATCCAGTCTCCTCATGAGTCCTGGGATTAAAGGATACCATCAGGCCAACTATAACTTCTGGAGAACCTTTGGTCTCACTACCTGCAAGGTGTGTAACTAACAGTCTTGCTGTTTTTTATATTTTTAAGAATACTTTCTAAAGACTTTGGAACTTACTATTATTAAAACTCATCCTTTAGAAAAAGTGGAAAGGCCATACGGGTATTTAACTTAGATGTCCTCTCATTCTCTTCATCTTGTTTATGAAATGGATCCAGAAATAGAATTGTTCAATAAAGTAGATGGCCAGCCTACTTTATTGGCCAGTGTTCCATGTTCTCTAGTACTACATAAACTATTGTCCAGCTCCAAAAACTATAAAAGGCAAGAATACTGTGCGAGTAATTTTTAATTAAAAAGTAATCAAATGGCAGGTATGGTGATGAATGAATCACAGCACTCAGGAGGCAGAGGCTGGAGAAAGTCTGAGTTGAGGCTAGCCTATTCCATGTAGTGAGTGTTTCCTAGCTAGGTGAGCTACCTAGGGCTATCTAGTGAGATCCTACTCAAAACGAAAGGGGTATTATGTAGCTAGACAGGTCATTTATGGTTGGTCCTTTGGTATTTATGAAACTGAAGTTTGATATCTTTGTTTAAACAATCCTTTAACTATAAATAATCTCAATCTTTAGGCAATGATGATTTCCTTATGTAACTTTGATTGCCACATGAAATTAGAAAGAATTGTGTGGAAGTAACAGAACTTCTAAACATTTCTGACATTAACATTCCCTAAAGTAGACACTCTCAGACTGGTATCCACCCACAGATATGTAGAGAAACCATGGGTGAGCCTAGGAAATAATCCATCTCTGGAAATCATGTATTTGCAAAATTATGTATCTCTGTAATACAGATTTTTCCTGGATCCAGACCATAACTGGAAAAAGAAAACTATTTTTTCACATTACCAAATGAACTATAAGCAGTACTTCTAATCATAAAAAAAGTTAAAATTAACTATCAAATAGGCTAATGGCAGTAGGTAAAGAGTAAGTACTTCCTGGAAGATACAGATGTATGTATGTTCCCATGTATGTACCCACATGCACACATATAATGTGTATACAAGACAATTTTGTGAACTTTGTGAGTACTGTTTTAAAAAAATTCAAAGCCCATTTCAATTTTCAATTTCATTCAGGCTCTCAAATCATTCACTTACTGAATCAGAAAGACTAGAATAAATGTGCTCTTAGAAAAGACAAGAATATAAATAGGACAACTAAAACAGATTTTATTCCATTTTATCAGGATGAGGAAAACAAAATATAAAATAAGTCATAAGAAATGTTCTCCTGTACTATCTCAAATCATTTAAATGTTGTACAAAATGCTCACAAAGCAATTATGAAAAGCTTCAACATATCTTTTGTAAATTGTGCTGCAGTAAATGCAACATTAACATACAACTTTCTTCTGTATCAATTTTAAAAGAATTACTAAATTACATACTATTATGTTGCTCATACATGTTTATTCACTTTTAATGAGGTCACTGCCAATACATACATTATTTTCCTTAACTTTATTTTTACATTAAGCCAATGTCTGTCATGCAGCCATCAAAAACCTGATAGCAAATCAAACAGGTTTGTAGTCTAGTTTAGACTCCAGCTTCTTAGAGTCAGCCACTTTCCTGACTGCTTTCATGAAGTCTTCCTGAACTACAAAATCATGATCAGCACGAATGGCAAACATACCTGTAGAAAACAAAACAAATTTGCTGCTTATCATATGTGAATTACAGATCCATAAGAAAACTAAGTTACGACAGTGGCACATGCCTATAATCTCAGCAACTAGGGGACTGAAACAGGAGGATTCCAAGTTTGAAAATAGCCCAGGCAACTATCAAGACCTGCTCTAAAAAGAAAGGAGGAAGAAAACTATCTAATCTTAACTCTGAGGAATAACTGTGAAGCTGTATAGATCTGCTACTTCTGACCAGCAGTGCTACCTTACTAAAATACGCTATCTTCATTCAAATCATTTCCGCAAGCAGAGTAGCATACTTTTAAAATGAAGCAGATAATGCAATTATCTGAATATTTAAATCTGGATTGCAGCTGGGCAGTGGTGGCACACACCTTTAATCTCAGCACTTGGGAGGGACAGAAGGCCAGCCTGGTCTACAAGAGTTAGTTCCAGGACAGTCTCTCCAAAAATACAGCAAAGCCCAGTCTCATAAAAACAAAAACAAAGCAAAACAAAACAAAAATCTGGATTGCATATGTCCAATGGTAATTCTTTTTTTTTTTTTTCAAAGAGCAGCCAGTGTTCTTAACCTGAGTCACCTCTCCAGTCTCTAAGGTAATTCTGTTGTTGTTTTTTTTTTTTATTTTATTATTTGTAAGAGTTCTTATGTATGCAGTGTTCTGTCTACATGTGTGCCTGCATGTCAGAAGAGGGCACCAGATCTCATTACAGATGGTTGTGAGGTACCAAGTGGTTGCTGGGAATTTGAACTCAGGACCTCTAGAACAGTCAGTGCTCTTAACCTCTGAGCCATCTCTCCAGGCCCTCTCCAAACACACAACACTATCAAGACTTACACATTCTAGGCTGAAGTCTCTTAATAATATATGCAACGATTCTCCAGAAGAACAAAACCCCTAGGCTAGGGATGTGGAACAAGTCAGATGTTTGCTTAACATACCCAAAGCCTTGGGTTTGATCTCCAGCAATGCAAAAACTAAACCAACTCCCAATAATTTTGGTAATGAATATCTGACATTCAGCAAGGCTTGAGGTTGGGGATAGGAGTCAGTGAAGGACTGCCTGGATTATAAAAGGCTGGTTCAACCATCAGCACTGTGTGCTCTAAGTCTATAATTCCAGCACTTGGGAGGGAGAGGCACTGCCTCTTACTATGTATTTCAAAACGTTAGAACAAAGGATTCAAGGTGTTTTCACCATAAAGGAAAGGTTACATGCTTGAGGAGACATGTACGTTTAATCTAAGTGTTATGCGATATATACATGTATAAAAATATACGATTCCTATTAATGTGCAATTTCCATCAATCAGCTAAAAAATAGAAAAAGCAAAAACATTTTTCAATGTGAGAGAAAAAAAGCATCTATCAAACTTTGATAGCATCAGCCTTTAAAAAAATCACAGTGCTGCTTTTGACTCCAGGTTCACTGAAACCATCCTTGGTAATAATGCAATCTGATACAGATTCTGGAATATGACAAATTATCCTAGGTAGTTCAAGTCATATGTGAGCTGACTTATTATCACTGAGATAGTAACTACAAAAATGATAGCACACAGGTCTTGGGTGTGGATATTCCGCATGGAAAGTAAAAACCAAATGATTCTAGCTAGCTAGGTAGGGCTTCAAAGTATCTTGTTACCAAAAATAAAACTAGAATCAAAAAATTCAGAATTGTATCTTAAAACTTCATCTTAAACAAACTGCAGGACCACAGGCTTTCAGTCTTCCCACAGCATGCTTGTAGGAATCAGAAGTGCTTAGGAGATAATGACCCCAAGGGCAGATTCTGCCCAATGGGAGAAGAATGCTAGTAAATAAATGTGCTAGGCTCCACGTTTAGCCACACAATCCTCATAAGAATCCTGTGGGTTTCCCTAAGGCCCCTTACAGAAATCAAGATCAACTACTACAGTGGTACTTTCTCCTCTGGGCTGTTCTGTTCTGCTTCTTGAAATCAAGTCTCAAAAGCAAAACAAAACACGAAACACTGAAATCCTAAAAATGGTGCAGGATAAACTTACAAAACATTGTTAGAGATGGTAAAATATGCTTTGTCCTCTTACCTGCTTCAGTACAAACATTTCTCAGGTCTGCTCCATTAAAGCCATCGGAAAGCTTTACAATTGCTTCATAATCTGTATAGGAAAAAAAGAAATTAACAAGATAATAATAAAGACTCAGTCTTTATTTTTGCCCACAGAGAAACTTTAAATGGACTAGTTGATTTGAATTTGATTAGCATTACACTTGCTACTATTTTACAACATTAACAACTAAAACTAAATAAAAATGCTGCAAAATAAACCAAAATCAAGAAGACATACATCTGAATTTTTAGTAAAAAAAATGTCAAGATTTGAAGGCAAATCGGA